GAGAACCTATTTGGAGAAATAATGACTGAAAATTTTCCTAACCTGGCGAAGGAAATAAACACACATGATCAGGAAGGGCAGAGAATCCCCAAAAAGATGAACCCAAACAGGCCCACACCAAGACACATCATAATTAAAATGGCAAAAGTTAAAGACAAAGAGAGAATCCTAAAAGCAGCAAGAGAAAGGCAACTAACAACTTATAAGGGAGCTTCCATAAGATTGTCAGCTGATGTCTCAACAGAAACTTTGCAGGCCAGAAGGATTGACACAAAATATTCAAAATGGTGAAAAGCAAGGATCTCTACCCAGCAGAGCTATCATTTAAAATTAAAGGACAGATAAAGAGCTTCACAGACAAAAAAAAGAAGCTAATGGAGTTCATCGCCACCAACCAGTATTACAAGGAATGTTAGAGGGACTTTTTTAAGATGGAAAAATAAAAGTTCAAAATTATGAATAATAAAATGACAATAGCTACATATCTATCAACAATCACTTTCAATGTAAATGGATTAAATGTTCCAATCAAAAGACACAGGAGGGCTGAATGGATAAGAAAACAAAACCCTTACATATGCTGCCTACAAGAGACTCACTTCAGATTGAAACACACACACAGACTGAAAGTAAATGGATGGAAAAAGATATTTCATGAAAATGGAAATGAAAAAAATAAAAAGCTCGCATAGCAATACTTATACCAGACAAAACAGACTTTACAACAAAGGCTATAACAAGAGATAAAGAAGGACCCAGTAATCCCACTTCTGGGTATTTATCTGAAGAAATCCAAATGCAATTCGAGGGGACGTGTGCATCCCTATGTTCATTGCAGCATTGTTTACAGTGGCCAAGATGTGGAGGCAGCCTGGGTGTCGGTTGGTGGATGAATGGACAAAGAGGAGGTGGTGCATATATACAGTGGACTATTGCTCGGCCAGGGAAGGGAATGGGTTCTTGCCATCTGTGGCAGCATGGATGGACCTGGAGTGTATTGTGCTGAGTGGAGAATGTCAGACAGAGAAAGACAGATGTAATGTGATTTTCCCTATATGTGGAATCTAAAGAACAAAATAAACAAAACAGAAACAAACTCATAGATACAGAGAACATTTGATGGCTGCCAGATGGGACGGGGTTGGGAATGGGTGAAAAGGGGGAAGGGATTAATTAGTATAAACTGGTATAAAGCCGAGCAGGCGGCAGCAGGTCTCACTGGCAGAATCCTCCATCTCCCAGAGTTTCAGCTGATGACAGCGAGACCTGGTCCCCCTGGGCCTTCCTGCTGGTGCTCCTGTCCAGTTAGAGACCCTTCAGCCTCAGGCCCCAAGCCCCTCCCCACAGCTGGCATGGAAGCCCCAGAGGGCATGCAGACCTTGTGCTGTGGGCCCTCCTGTAAAAAAGTACTTTGGAGCAGCCCAGCCCTGTCCTCCTGGAATGATCTGGACCATCTGGGTGACTTTGCACCAAGGACCCCACCCTAGAAAAGCCTGGGTTACAAACTGTAAGTGGCAGAATCCCCTGTGTAGAATATAAAAGACCCAACACAAAGGCTTTGTGTAATATATACAAATGCACAAGAAAAAACCCAACAGTCCGCGACACCTCGACCAGCGAGCGGGGGAACAGCGAATGGCAGCCACGTTAAGAAATATACAATCAGGGGCCGGCCGAGTGGCTCAGTTGGTTAAGAGTTAGCTTAAGAACCCGGGCTCTGAGCAACAGGGCTGCCAGTTCGATTCCTACATGGGCCAGTGACGCTGCGCCCAAGCTGAGCTGTCGCTGAGCCGCCAGCAGGTGGCAGGATGGCTCAGTTGGTGTAAAAACAAGATTGCCTGTTCGATGGTGGCTACGCCCGCCCGCAACTAAGACTGAACTCGGCACCTTGAGCTGAGCTGCCATCTGGATGGCTCAGTGGATGGAGTGTGGGCTCTTAATGACAAGGCTGCTGGTTCGACTCCCACATGGGATGGTGGCTACGCCCACCCGCAACTAAGATTGAACACAGCACCTTGAGCTTAGAGGCCACGAGCTGCTAACGGGCAGCCAGATGGCAACTGGCGCCCTCCACAACTAAGATTGGAGAACAACTTGGCTGGTCCCCTTCCCCAACACTGTTCCCCTCCCCCAATTCCCCAATAAAATCTTTAGGGGGGGAAAAAAAAAGAGTGTCAGCTCTGAGCAACAAGGTCACCAACTCGATGCCCAGTCCAAGGTGAACTGCTGGCTGAGCTGCCAACAGGTGGCAGGATGGCTCAGCTAAAAAAATAAAGAAATAAACAATCAAAAGTGTGGCAGCTCCAAAGGGTCGCTTGCAGGACTCGCCAAGTGAAGCACATGCGAGTAGCTCAAGTCCTGGTTTTGTTAAGTATTTCAAATATCGCAGTGGTCGATGTGAACTGTGGCTACAGACGGCCCATCAAACCAGAGGGGCAAGACGGACTTGGTGCTCAGGCCATCTCTGCGGGACGCTGCGGAAGGGCACCTGGCCTGGCTGGCCTGACAGCCCAGCGCCAAGGACGGAGCGGGGGTCCCACAGTGGCCTACCCGGAGCGGACAGGTGTGAAGCTGACCTGAGAGGCCTGCTCAGGGTAGCTGGGTGAGTGTGGAGGGGTGGCCAGGAGGAGGCTGTTCAGGGCGGAGCTGAGGATGCTGGCCCAGTGGAGGCCCCTGAAGTCGCTGGACGACGACAGCTGACTGCTACTTGGACAGGCCCCTCCCTCCTCCAGTCTCATGCTTCTCACTTCCAGATGATTCTCCAAAACTGTCATTTCCTCCCTCGCAAGCTCCCTAAGGACATGGCCCAAGCCTGGTTCCCAGAGGTGACACCACCGTGCCGGCCATGTCCTCACAGGCGAGCGTGTTCGGGCCTCTCCTGGGCCCTGCAGCCTGTCCCTCCCCTCAGGGCGACACCCACACACCTTGACACAGGTGGGGAAGTCAGAGCAGGGCTCACTTGATGCGTGACTTTTTCTCATCACTATTTCCTCTTGCTTATCTTTTCCTTTTTATAATAAGCGTTCTGTTACTATGCATTATTCACTGTCTCCTAGATCTTGTAAAGAGCATGAAAGCAAACTTGTGGTGCTGAAGCTGGGCCCTGGGACTCGTTGACCATGGTGCCACCAACTGCCACCAGGAAAGGCAGAGCCTGGGCGTGGGTCCCAGAGCCCCAAGCACATGTCGGGATGGCTATGGGAACATCTTGTGGCTCCGTGTGGGCGTCTGAGCTGCACCCTCAGCCCAGCCTCCTGTCTCCCTTCTGAACCTGGTTCTCAGCGGGTAGCGTCAGGATGGGTGAAAAATGGGAGTCCTGTCTGTGGAAGCATTTTCAGTACGAAGTCCTGAAACAGTAAGCTGACCCAGGATGCAGCAGTCTGCAGGAAAAATCCTATTCAAAATCAAAATTACATCTTCTACCAGCCCCAACTGAAACACACTAGTGTGAAAAATTCCCTTTTTCCAACCATCTTCTTTTTGGGAGAGAGCAGACGTGTCCAGGTAAGGAGTGAAGCGTGGGCTGTTTACTCCCCAACTAGTGGCGAGGACCCCACTAGCTCCAGTCCCGCCCCCCAGGCAGCCCCAGGCCCAGAGGCCAAAAACGCACTGCCCTGGGCCAGATCGTCCTCCTGAGAGCCATCACCATGCCTCCTCCTCGTGTGGGCTGTGCTGGAAAGGCTGCAGGAGGAACGTTTTCCTCCTGGTACCAAGTTCAAGGGAGCACCAGGGCTCTGCTACTTGCCGTTAACGTGGGGAGAAAACATCAGGTAGTTGCCGAAGCGTCTTAACTCATGGGCACAAACCAGCTTTCAGACAGGCACCTACGGGGCTGGGAGGGTTCTGCCGGCACCACCCGCTCCTCAGATTTGCAGACACCATGTCACAGAGAGAACCTCATCGCCTTCCTCGCAGCAGGAAGGAAATGCTGAATCAGACCCGACCACGCAGAGCAGGACGAATCGCCAAACCCCGCTGCCCCTCCCCAAAGGCAAGGTCAAAGGCGCAGGCAGCAGGTTGCCCTCCAGGAGAGCTGCCTAGGCCGCCGCCCCCTCTCTGACTCGCGACCCCAAGCAAACCCTTCGTTCTGTGGCTTCCGATCCGTGTCAGCATCCGACAGCTGCGCTGCCACCCCGGAAGCCGGAACACGTGAGATCACAAAACTGAGCACCGAAAAATAAAAATAAAAAACCCCGCAGGGGCCGCGCCTTCCCGAGAGCAGCTCAGCCAGCGATACGGAGACGCCCGATCCGGGCTCCCTGGGGCGCGGGTGCCTGCACCACCCCCGCCCGCGTCCCGCGCCAGGCCTGTGGCCCGCGGCTCCGCAGGGCTTCCCCGGGCAGGCGCGCCGATGAGGTGCGGGACGCGTGGGGCCTAGAGAGGCAGAGGGACCCTGCCCCGGGCCCCCCCCGCACTACCTCCCGTCCACCTCCCGGACACCTCCGGGTCATCTCCGGACCACCCCCAGGCCACCTCCGGGCCACCCCTGGACAATCTCCGCGTCACCCCAGGCCACCTCGCGGTGCAGGGCAGCCGGGCCCCGCGGAGCACGGTGCCAGGTGTGGGGAGCGCAAAAGCCCGGCCTGACTGCGGTGGCGCGCGGGGACCGGGGACCAGGCACAGGGAACCGGGGCTGCCGGCGGCTGCTCACCGAGGCTCCCCGCCGGCGGATGCGGCGTCCGACGGCCGGGTTCGGCCATTGCAGTGGCGCTGCGGCGGGCGAGGGGCGCGCGTCACCGCGGGCGGGCGCCCCAAACCCAGGCCCTCCCCCGACACTGCCCGCCGCCCAGCCGCGCCCCCGTCCGCGCAGCTCCGCCACACCCCAAGCCCACCTTTTCCTTTTCTGCTCTTATTCTTTTATGCAGCAGGTTTGCAGTCTATTAGAATCCGAAAACGCCGTTGCCGAAAATAACCCTGGCTGCTGCGCAGGGCGCGCGGAGGGGAGGGTGAGGAAGGCGCCCGGCCGCCCTGCCCCGCCCGCACCCAGAGCCACAGCTTACCGGGTTACCAGGGATGAATTCTTACTCATGGTGAGAATCACCCACATTTCGCGTTGGATGTCAGCAGCCACCAAGCAGCCCAGAGACTTGCACGTGTGTTTCGACCGTTAACTCTTGGCTTCCCATCTCCACGCGCCGCCTCCCACCGCCCTGGTGACAGAGAAAAGCTTCTGCGGACTTGCAGAGAGCTAATCATATCGCTGCTCCAGGATCAGACCCACAGCCCATCTTGGAGCCGCGGCTTCCGCGCCAGGTTCCCAGCCTCTCGGCTGCTGCAGGCTCCAGGTCTGGCGTTCATCACTACAGTGGGGAGAATACCCCGACCCACTTCTGCGAGTGGCTGGAGGAGTTAAATGGGTTAATAAGTGTGGTATGCAGGAAGGGCAAGCATGATTCACGAAGGCCTACGTGCAGGCCAAACGTCCCCTCGTGGAAAGCATTCCTTCCCTGGAACAAGACTCTCAAACCAGCAAATCCCAAGCTCTGGGCACAGAGAGCAACTTGTTTTGCAGAGATCCTTAACCGTGAGCGTGAGCTTGAGCGTGAGCGTGAGTGCGAGCCTCTCACACTGTTATCCCATGTTCCTGGACCCATGCCCTCCTGCTGCAGGAAACCAGGACCGTTTCTTGATTGCTGGTTAAGAACGGGTGGGACAGCTCAGAGGCAGCCTGTCCTCCCGACTGGCACTCTGCAGCCCCTTTAAACAGGCTGTCCCAGCATTCCCTGCCGTCTGGAGGGTAAACACAGTAGACTTGTGGGTCCTATGGTGTCAGCTCCTTGCCACCTTCTTTGGTTTCTCGGTCAGAGGCAGCAGCGATGCGTTAGGGTAAAGTGAAGAAAGGCCCAGTGAGTCTCCGATGGGGCCCCTGGTGGGAGCCCAGTGCACAGGAAAGGAAACCCACACCCAGGATGAGTGTCTGCTCCGAGGAGGTCCAGTGGGACCAATTTGCTGCCACACTGCTGGCTGGTCCCATGGGTGTGGTGCCACGCCCTGGCTCCATGTTGGTCGGGCTGCTGGTAGGCCCAGCAGTGGCACTAGCCAGGTCAGCCTTGGTCAGGGAAGATACGCATGGAATCGCCACCCACGCCGCCATTGTCACTACTTCCATGAGCTTTCTGTGCAAACGCTGGGAGGCTGGAGAAAGCAGCTGGCTGACCTCTGCAGACTTGTCACCTTCCCCACCAGACTGCCGAGGGCCCCTGTGCTGCAGGAGATTTGGGGAGCGTGCAAATATTTTCACACCTGGCCCATTCCCCAAAGTCTGTCCACCCCACATTCTCCCCAGACCTCCGTATCCCCAGCCCTCCAAACCTGTGCCTTCTAAGTTCCTGACCATCAGTGCAGACAAAGGTCTGTCGACTGTCCTGCCAAGTAGAGTGGATAACCAGATCTACTGCTCCAGTTGGCCACAGGGTGGACTTTCCCTCTCCACTGTCCATTGGGCGAGTTTGAGCAGGGCTGTGATGCTCTCAGCCCTTTCCAGCCAACAGCAGCAGAGCACACAGAACTGTCTTATTGATCACTTGTTTCAAGGAGCTCCCCATAAAACCCAACATGAAGGTGGAGGGGTGGGCAGTACGGGGGCAGCTGTGGGGAAGGGGAGCGCGCCTGCTTCCGCCCAATTTCACAAAAGTGAAAAAAGGACCAGTGAGTGACAGTTTGATGACAAACAGCTTATGTAGGGAATATAAGGAGTCGCAACATATCTCCTCCCAAGACACTTATTAATGACAAGTGGAAACAGTGTATTGACAGTGGGGAGACCTGGCAGACAACAGTTTAACCTGGAATGAAAGCCAACATCTGTAATGGAGCAAATCAATGTCAGGTGCCTCAAACCACGGCAGCGGAGAAAAACACAACTTCTGTGGTATTCCTGCCAGATTCGTATCTGAATTTAATCAGGAGAAAACATCTGACAAACCCCAACTGAGGGACATTTCTACAAAATAACTGTTGTCCTGTACTCAGAAAAATGTCAAGATCATGAGAAACAAAGGCTGAGGAACTATTCTAAGTGCAAACAGTGGTTACACTGTATTGTGAGGGAGCGATGCCAAGAAAGAAGTCTGCGCATGCTCAGGACCGGCGCGGTTGCCCTGCGCCTGACTACGGAGAACTCCGTGCAGGTGTGCAGGCTGATGGACGTGCAGAGAGACGCGGTGGGCTGTTCACAGGCAGAATCAAGGCTCTGGGTGCCTCTGGGGGTGGCTGTGAGGTCAGAGGGCACACAGGAGGCTTCTGGGGAGCCCGACATGCTCTTTCCCGATGTGGGGGATGGTCACTTGTGTATTTATTTTATAATTATTCTTTAAGCTGTACATATATGTTCTATAGACTTTTCCATATTACATTAATTATCCCAATTTTTTAAAATGCCAGTGGCAGGGCCGGCCGAGTGGTGCGATGGTTAAGAGCTGGCTTGGGACGCCAGAGGGCCCCAGTTCGGATCCCACATATGAGGGCCAGTGACACTGCCCTCCACAGCTGAGATGCTGAACA